CGTGGAGCCTTTCCACCGGTAGATTTACGAGCGGTTTGCTTAGTACGTGCCATGACGATTTTCTTCAACAAGAGATCCTCGCAGAGTTACTCTCAAATCAGAATTGAAGTCTGCGCACGAATATTCGCCTTTATATACACATTCGGAAGGGACGTTCAGCGTTCTCATTGGTTCACGCTGACGGGTGGGGGAAGCGGTTTCGCGCTCCGGGATTCGCTGCCGCATCTGTAGTGGGGGATGCCGTCTACCAGAGGCTATATAAGTATCCCACGCTTGATGTTCGAATTACGTATTGGCCGATTTGAACGCAGTTTTTGATACTTTGAGAGACAGTCCTAGAAAACAGAGAACTCATGTGTGAGAACAGGGTGGATACATGTTTCGATACATGTTTGATACCCAGGCTAACTTCATTGATAGTCTGGACGAATATGCTATATTAGGTCTTAGGAATTCTGACACTTTGATCATTTTATAGATACGGTCCTGTGTGGCTGCGATTTAGTTCAATCTATCATTTTGAATTCATTCCCAGGTACATTTTTGTCAGGCAGAGGAGCTCTACGTCTAGAAAACACAATTGCCTGTGCTTTCGTGACGTTATTTGTTAACTTTGAAGAAAGTTATGATCGAGTCAATGTATTTTTGTAGGTTAGAACGACCAAGTCATGGGGCCCTGGACGCTATACAAAAAGTCTATCACACGCGGCACTTTTTAGAGCCACTAAATGTTTTAAACAAGGAGCTTCTTTCAACTATGTTCAGCCATATTTATTGTTTACTTGCTGATTGTCGATTTATTATCTTTAAAACCTCTATCTTTCTATTATATTTTTGATTATTCATACTGAACCTATTATGGAATATTTTGAAGATATGAAATAAAGTATAGGAAACTGATTTTATTTTAACTGAATTCATTAACTGATGAGGTCATTAACTGAAGTCAATGTATGAAATAACTGTTGGTAGAAATTTAATTAATTTCAAAGGTTATATTATTAAGACTTCTGGATTTAAAACTTTGAGTTCGTGAGGTTGATTCAAAGACAAAAATATTCAACGAACCTATTTAGTGGCGCTTTATATTAAAGATCCTTTATTTTTACTCTTTCATTAATATTCGTTACGATTATAATAAAATCTACGTTGGACATATATATATATATATATATATAATGTTGATTGTTAAAACGATAAACTGCACGAGATACATAAAAGATCCATCATTATTTTTAGAAATTGTGACTAGGCTTCTTATTTGATTATAGACTTAACGTTCTTTGACAAAAGTATATATACTCAAATAATTCCGTTTACATTTCATAAATGTTCATACCTTTTTATATTGTCCTTGTTACGTGATGCAAGTTCAATAGTTCTTACAAATTTATTTCCATTCATTTCCATGTTACACTTGTTGCGTAGATGAAGTAATACAAATTCAATTATGCTATGTAGTTACGATTCATATCTTATTCAATGGTATTGAAATCAATTAATAATGTCAACATTTCCTTACGTGATAATTAAATTGTGCAATACACAATTGCGCATAAATTATTTCTTGTATCCCGAAGCACCGTTTCAACGAACAACGCTCTTCATGAGAAATTTCTATCTGAGAAAAGCGACATTTCCGATTTGTAAATACAAAATTTATGAAGAAAAAGAATTTTGAAAGTCTTGCCCTTGTTTCAGTCGTTAAAATAATTTTACCATATCCATTAAACATTTTGTACGACTGAATATCACATCGACCATTCATATTACGTCTTCATGGTCATTGTATTTGCCTCCGTGAAGAACACTCCAAATTCTTCACAATTTTCGATTCCCATTAGTAAACCACGAATATAGATTATTAGTCCTAACATTTAGGGATCTAATTCAATTATGAAAATCACGTTCGATCAACTGTTTCCACAATTTTTACTTAATTAATCCCGTTAGTCTATCCCTCGTTAAGATCGATCGTGAATCTACGTCAATTTAGATGAATATAGTGACTAAAAATGAAGTAAAACTCGTAGTTTTACGATGGCGTCAGATGCTGCCAACAATAAGTGAATATTTATGCGCGTAACATCCTCGTTGAACCGGACGAATTATTGTTTAAATTGCAAAAATTTACACGAGGGTCTCTGATTCTCGGCAACGTGGATTGGAAACATAGGAGAGGCCTCTCTCCATGGTCCGTGCTCCCGTTACTAGTACGGACGGTTCGCAGGGGCGGAGCTAATACTCAATGCACGAAGCGTCAGCATCGAACGACTCGTTGAAAAAATTGATTTTGTATTTTCACATTCTTAATTTTCGTTAACGATGGAGGACAAGACTAGTTCCGGAAGTACCGCAGTGGCGGAAACTGCAACAGCGAACGCGAATCCCGCGAAAAAGGCGTCCAAGTCGAAAACGAGAACATCTCGTTCGAAGTCTTCTCATCCACCCACTTCGGAAATGGTAAACGCTGCCATCAAGGAGTTGAAGGATCGTAAAGGATCGTCGTTGCAAGCAATCAAGAAGTACATCGCCACCACGTATAAGGTTGATGGTGAAAAATTGTCACCATTCATCAAGAGGTATTTGAAGACTGCTGTAACATCCGGCGCAGTTGTGCAGACCAAAGGAAAAGGTGCTTCTGGCTCGTTCAAGCTCTCTTCCCCTGTGAAGGGCTCCGATTCCAAGAGCAAACCGAAACGGGAACTGAGGAAAACTGAAACCGTTTCGGAGAAGAAAACTGCCGAAAGGAAGACTGCTAGTCCGAAGAAGGCCGCTGCCGCCCCGAAGAAACCGGCTGCGAAGAAAACAGCAGCAGCGAAGAAACCAGCGGCCGCATCGAAGAAAATCAAGACCGCTGCCGCAAAGAAAGCTGAGACGGCTGCTAAGCAAAAAGTAGCCCAACCGAAGAATTTGTCGAAAACCAAGAAGGCTACGAAAGCTCCAGCAGCGAAAACAAAAACCCCTAAACCAAAAATAGCTAAATCACCAAGAGCCGCCAAAGCAGCAGCGAAGAAGTAATTGTTCAGCGATATAATATACCATTGGCCCTTTTCAGGGCCACAAAATTATTCACAAAGAAACAATCTCGATTTCAAACTTTTCGTACCATTACATCCTCTCATCCTAATATTGAATGACGTTAAACGTAGGACATACACACAAAAATACGTCATTATACTTTAAAATTCACGTAATTCTGTTCTTTTAAAAGCATTGATTTACATGCAAGATTTATTCCACTTTTTATTTAGTATGTTTGATTTGTTCAAGCGCTTACATTTTATACATATGCTCTCCCAACTACAAAGACAGGATTTGTGTACGTTTTAATTATTTAGATCTATCGTTAACCCTTGGTTTAAGCTAGGTATATTTGAAGATGACGTTCATATAAAATAGTTTATTATTTTCAATATCTAGTCGCCATGCGTTTCATTAATATTTGAGTTGGCAGGATTTTACATATGCAAATAGCTGTCGCCTTCATTTTTTTTTTTTGTTATCAACCTTTTTTCGGTCTCTGGTATGTTTAGAGTTTCTCCAGTGACTTCTGGTAACTTTCTTACTTGTTCTTGTACATGCAAGTTATTACTACTGATAACTGTATAACTATTAACATTAGACAGATATTGGCATCTATAAATATTATATGATAATGCATGTAACAGAGTACACAATTTAGACACATCTTCTATGACCATGAAAAACTTCTATTTACTGTTATATTTGTAGTATAAATCATAGTACTTTGAAAAACATAAAGAAGTATAAATAGAACACAGAATGTCGAAGGTAACACGAATGTATTTAGTAGAAAAATCCATGTTTTGCGTCAAATCGAACAGTAATGGCATATAATAGTGAGTTCTTGTAAGATTTGTAAAAGTCTTTCACCGTTCGTATAAAATATAATAAAACGGTAAAATAAAATTTACGTTTAGATTCCAATTTTCAAGATAGATAACAATTGATGTCGTATATACGTACAATATGTATGCGATAGCGTGGCCTTAACGCCATACTTTGTTGAAAAAGTTGTTGTACGTGCAAAGTACTAAGAAGATAGACTTTTCATTGTTAATTTCAAATGGAATATTTTTCTGTAACAGATAGATTTTACGGCAGACGCACAGACTTCAGCTGTCCTGAGAAAACGTAGCAGCGCCGCACCAATCGTATTTCAGGAACCGCTACTCGCAATCTGATTGGTCGACCGCTACTACCTCCGATGGCTATAAAAGCGGCGCTTCGGATAGGACGCGTCAGTTTTCGTTTGTTCTCCGAGGAGTTTTGTTCCAAGTTTTTGTTGCTGCAATCAATTCTATTTGAACGATGTCTGGACGTGGCAAAGGTGGAAAGATCAAGGGAAAGGCAAAGTCCCGTTCGAACAGAGCTGGTCTTCAGTTCCCTGTGGGTCGTATTCATCGACTGCTTCGCAAAGGAAACTACGCGGAACGTGTCGGTGCAGGTGCTCCCGTCTATTTGGCAGCTGTTATGGAATATCTTGCTGCTGAAGTGTTGGAATTGGCCGGTAACGCGGCTCGTGACAACAAGAAGACCAGAATTATTCCGCGACACTTGCAACTGGCCATCAGGAATGACGAAGAGTTGAACAAACTGTTGTCTGGAGTTACCATAGCTCAAGGAGGTGTTCTGCCTAACATTCAAGCAGTTTTGCTACCGAAGAAGACCGAGAAGAAGGCGTAATTTCCTTCATCTACATTCAGACTAAACGGCCCTTTTCAGGGCCAACAAATTCTTCAAACGAAGGAAAACTCTGGTTTACGATCTAGTATTTGAGGTTATGATATATTCTATCAAACATTACACCGAACGTATGTTAGCAAATACTTTTGTAATAAAAACAATGTAATGGATTCTGAAAACTTATTGTTTCTACAACAAAATTTGTCTCGGTTGCAATACTTGAAGATCATTAATCGGGAAATAAAAAGTCCGGGCCACAGGTTACAAATAACGCCTAAGCCTGTGTATGACACGCGGATCGGAGGATTGGTAGGAACAATACGTACAATGAGAACTGAAATCATCGTAAGTACATCCAGCTACTAATTAAGATCTCTTCAACTATACATAACGACAATTTCATTTAAGACATTAAATGGCGTTTCGGTTTGCCTTTAGTTATACAGGGTGGGGCCAAATAATACGTACCAGTGAGAACGAGGTGGTTCTTTATGAACAAATATGAGAACAAAATATGGAGTAAAATTGGATGTTCATTTAAAGCTTAATTTTCGAGAAAATCGAGTCTGAAAATTCTATTCGTATATATGCTCTTACAGCTGAGTTACGGTTCATCGAGCATCGTATAAAGCTTATCATGTTTATAAACAATGTCTACCCAGCATTTAAAAGTTACCGAGTTAGACTTTATTCTATTCTTTTGCAGTGTTCTTCGATCAAGAATCTTTCGGTTATGATGGTGCTCTCTGTAATAACGAACAAGTTTTCATTAAAGGCTCCCAAAGCTCGGATCATGTCAACATAATTCCTATTCGTGTACATCATCGTTGGATAAATGAACGAAAACTGTCTGATTAAGCAAATAACTATTAGAAATCTCAAATCATTGTTTATAAACACGATACGCGTTATACGATGCTCAATGAACCGTAACTCAGCTGTAAGAGCATGTGTACGAATAGGATTCTCCAACTCGATTTTCTTGAAAACTAATCTTTAAACGAAAAAACTTTATTCCATATTTTCTTCTTATTTTTTCATAAGTAACCACCTCGTTCCCGCTAGTACATGTTATTCGGCTGTATAAATTTCTAAGAGAGGCTTCATGTCTCTAGTGAAGTCTAGTGGATAGAAGTTAGAAGACTCTGTAAGACTTCTATCCAGTTCCTATCGCGACATCTAGCGGCAAAGAGTGAAGTGATTGGCTATCGACACTGTGGCGCCTCCTACCAAAATTGACACGAACTATTGCGTGTACCGTACATCTGCTGACATCTACCTGAACCTCACCAGACCTCACTAGTTGGACTGTTGAGACATGTTTCGTGATTAACACTGTGAGTAATTCTGCATTAACATTTAATCCTATTAACATTTAATTCCTACTATTACTCTCGTTCACTATTTATGGATGCATTCAGTTAGTTATACATTTAATCGACGTTTTGACAGAGTTATCAGTTTTTACGTTGTTTCTTCGATCTCTAACCGGTGTCAGCAGTCATGAGAAGATAATTTGTTGGTTTCAGAGACATCAGTAATGTTGGGCCTAGCAATGATTTGATCTTTCTTTTCTTTTTTGAGAAATGCAAGCAAAAAAGGTTACTCGCTATAGTTTGCTGGGTGTGAACCGTTGCAATTGTAACACATTGCAAGAATGTTGGGTGACTCGGTGCATTGGAGGATGGTGAATCTGTGTGAACCTGGATGTTCTTTGCTAATATGTTTCTGAGTAAAAATGATCGTGAGTATCGTCTCAGCTTGGTTGGTTAGATATTTGACCTCAAAATCGCCTCTGATGTTTTCTTCCAGGAGCTTGCAAAAACCAAAATGGTCTTTAATTGCATAGCGGATAAAAATTAGAAGAGGTTTTTCTCTATGTCTTCGAGATTAGGGTCCATCGTATTCTGGTATTGTCTGAGGTGTGTGTGTGGGTTCGTTAACGTCGAATATGTCTGCGAGTACGCGGAATCTTTTTCGTGTTGGTATACTTTTTGTGGCATCTGCGGTACGCGCCATTTTGAATGAGACTGGTGTCGGTGTTGGTTGCATTTAGCACTTGGTAATTCGTTTAACACGTTGACCGCTATGTCACCCACATATGGGTGACAAGGATATTCACTGAGGAATAAATAAATCAATTCTGAAAGTGAGGTGTCGAAGAAAAAGATTCTGAATAGGATTGGTAAATTCTAAAGAGGTCGCAAAAATAAGTACCACCACGGATGTTAGATTATGTCATTTCTAATTGCATAGAAAGAAAATTTTAGCTTCGTAGGAATTATCACGATTATTAGTCCGGCAGTCAACGTGTTAATGACCGACGCGTCGAGAAACTCCCTGGCGAATGAATAAATGATAAACAAAGATGCAGATGAAACCTGTGGTCGCTTCCATCCACGCTGGCGAAGCATTACTGGGTGGCTCAACTGTCGTAACTCGGATTCGAAGCGCCGAAAGAAAGGGAAAGTACAGCTGGGACATCGAAGCATGGGAGTCCAGCATGCGCGGTCAGTCTGCGGAAAGCGGCTGAACGTTCGCGAGAAACGCTTCGTCGGCTCCGATTCATCGTGGATTCGCGGAAATCGTGAACAGGATTCGCTGTATCGAAGTGCAGGTCTGCCGATACCGTCCGGGAACATCCTCGTGGTACGGAAACTCCGAGCCGATCGTTGACGGTTTTCTGTTAAGAGGATCATGCCGGATACGAGGAAAGGTAAGAACGACTCACAGAAATCACTTTGCTTCATTAATATTCTCGCTTTTTTGCTGGACGTGTTCTTTTCAACTATTATCGCGCATTGAACATGGAGCTTCGATCCTTAATTCGGCGAACGATGTTCGTAAGCGTTCAACCAATTATAAATCTGAGTTATTTTTTAAATTAAGTCACTTTAAGACTTGTAAGTATTTGATGCGTATTAAATTTAAGCGATCTTCGAAAATTAATTAAATCGTCAGGGTTACTAGTAGCCGATTTTCATAAGGCAACAGTCGCGTGAAATTTCTAGTTTCGTTGAAGGTTTTGTTGTAAAATATTATGGGTCACCAGTGACCCACGTGGCACAGGACGCGTTAATGGCCCTAGACTCGGTAACTGCGTAACCACAATCTATGTTGAATAATGGTATTATGCCACAGTTACGCAATCGTGAAAATTTCACTTTCTGCGGTGCGATCGCGGTCTGTATACGGTCGCACGCGATCAACGAGCGTGTACCTCGATACACAGCGAGCGTGCGCACTGCACATTAGATATCGTCGATGATTTTGATTAGGAAACGTCGGATCGCCTCTGTCGTACTCGCATTCTGGTCGCCCGTTTCTTTTCGATACGTTTTTTCGCGTGGCCCCGCCAGCTTGCCTAACCGGTCTGTGGCATATGCGAACGCAGGTATTTTACCCGTACAAGGACGACCATGTTGACGCGCATACTTTCGGCGGTTTTCCTTGAACACCGAATCTTTAACGATCGATCGATGACGACGTTATTTCGCAATCAAGTAAAAGAAAAAGTAGAGTTTCGTTCTAATTTGGTCTACGGTATCCAGTGATAAATAACAAAAACAATGTAGCTTTTCTGGCACTTGGATTAATATGCATGGATCTATTTGGGTAATTAAAACTTAACGAAGAAAACAATGCGAATGAACATCGTAACTTCAGTTTCGAACTATATATTGAAACCTATATGTTATTTCATTCATTTTACTTTTGCGCATTATTCTATATATATTCTATAATATTATTCTATATATTCATATATATAACATATTACATATAACAATATTTTATATATTTATATATAGAATTATATTATATATATAACATTATTCTATATATTTATATATAGAATTATATTATATATATAACATTATTCTATATATTTAAGGCCAAGGAAATGCACATTGCTTATATTATTTATTTTTCTCCAGACTCTCGGACGAGAAACGAAATGCGGGCGTGATCGTCCCGTAAACATCGCAAGTTCCCAAGGCTGCGAGTAGTTTGGACGGAGTTAGCAATCGTTTGGAAGACATACGAGCCTCGAAGGTCGAACGTTTCTACCACGACGATCTCTAAAATCAAAATCTCGTTTTAAGTCGACGCGCGATGTTAGATTGGCAGTGTGCTACGGCTACTGTGCACGAACCTTGTGGCAAACGGCGACAATGGCCGATTGTACAATTATTACACAGAAACGGTAGGTTCTTTTGCGCAACTAGCGTCTAGGTTAACTAGCTTAATCGCGTGTAGACCCGCGACACGTCCGCGAGTCTCTCGTTATTCTATTTCTTCGCGTCGCGTCAGAAGAGTGTCGCGAGTACTTGTAAAACAACGGGTTGAATTTATCCGTAACACGGCCTGCACGTGGTTCGCTGCGCAATACAGCGATCATTATTCCATATATTGTACGGATGACTGGTTCACCTTTCGCGCCGAAGTTGCCGATGTGTTGCAACGGATAAGAAGTATCCTTGAAACCGACAGCACACGTGAAACGTTATTACTCGCCGAGAGAAAATAAGAAGGTTGCTTGCTTGATTGATGTATGTCATAATAGCGTATGAGTGTCCTTAAGCAGTAATGAATCCAGTAGCGACAACGCTGTTTTTAAAAACCGTAAACATTTATTGGTAATTTAATAAATACATTCTATTTACCTTTCACAAATCAGCTTTAAATGTTAAATCCAGATCAGTTGATTAGCTGTCACAGATAGATACACGCAATCACTGATAAACACGTCGATGCACATGCACTCTACACAGATATCGTGACACTGAGATTTGCACTAGTTTGAATACTTCTTCGCGCATTAAAACGACACATTTGTTATATTTTAAAACGGTAAAATGTGTCGCGATAGTAACTTGTTTACTTCTGGTATGTACGCTCTACGAGAGAGTTCTTCTCGTATTCGCGGCCCGAAGAATACTGACTGCGAAAAGCTTCGTTCGGTTGTAGAAAATTCACTGGGTCCTAGGCAATCGGGCCTGCACCGGTACGGGGTGTATTGTATCGGCCACTTGAGTCGGCCACTTCATGGAAACATTTGTATAATTTATAATCGTAACGTTTTGTTTTTCAGGTTTACTTTCCGCGAATGATCGTCAGTTGACGATAAAGGATCGATGATGATCTCGACCACCGACTGTCTTCACGGAACCGGGATATTTCTACGAGCTATTGAAGCTCCAGAATTTCTGCGTGCCTGACCTTCCTGCCGATTAGGATTCATAATGCTGGATCCGATTTTTGGAGCATCGTCGGTATGGTGGTTGGTGGTATACGCCAGTGTCCTGCTGCTGCTGTCGCCACTCGTGCTGCTATTCATCATTTTTCTGCCGAATTTTCCAATATTGCTGTTCAGAAGAATGTGTTACATTCCTATCGAGTCAATATGACAAATTAATCATCGATCTGTGATCTCCGCGGTGATCGCTTGTTACACATTTAATTATTGTATTACTTGGTAACGAAGAATGGATTACGAATGGGGTGTGAATGGTGCGCGATATGGTCCACTTCGTAATATCGAACACGGGATGAACTGGATGTAGAAACATGGATGAAAGAATGAATATGTGGATCCTAGTAGTTCGTAAGACATTAACGGCGCGTTAAATGGTAAGATCCAACGTTGGTTGTTCATAAATCAAAAATACCTGTAAAGTCCATGCGTTAGGGTGTCTCGCTCGAAACAAATCATCGGTTTTTCTCTTTTACGAATAACTTTGAAAAGCAAATATGTTTCAAGCAAAATTCTTCAGTGTCGTTTTCTTGAGCGAGACACCCTGATTAATAATTTTTATTTCAGAATAACTCTTAATCGCTCACTTGGTAGAACTAGTATTTATCGTAAGCACTGAATTAGTAGTACAGTTAAACTTCGATTAAGCGGACAAATTAGGAGAGGGGATGTTTGTTCAATCCGAATGCCGGTACAACAGCATCTATACAATATCGTGGCTTTCGAGCACGATTCGACCCTTTGACCAGGTGGTGTTTGTAGCGTTGATGCGCGATTCGCATGCGGTTCTTTCGCAATCGTTGCCAAGACTTTGCCACTCCTGTCGCACGTTCGTCGCGCTGCGCAAAACGCCGAATAAACCGAATATAACGGGAACGGTGTTTCGCAAAACTGGGGTTACTTGTACACTCGATCCGCGGACCGCTGGCCGAAAATTCGAGAAACGAACGTGTCCCCGACGGACATTGTCAGGCATTGTTGCGTCAGTTCTCCTAGCGGTCGCATTCGTGTCGTGCGCACGGCGATTTGTACATAAACATCTTGTCAAAATAAAATAGCTCCCGAGCAACGAGAGATATGATGTCACGGTTCGCATTATTCTTCACCATTCATTTTTCTTCTTCCTTTTCTCGGTTATATAAATTGACGTGCGTCATTGAACGTTCACCATTGATCTTGCGCTAGTCTACAGGCATTTCTTCGAACATAATCGGACCGTTCTATGAGTGAACAATTTTTTAATTACAAGGTCGATAAAAGACACTCGGTTGAAACTTGTCGGTGAGATTAGATGATTAACGTGTGTCAGCTCGCAGCGGAAACGAGCTCCTGCGATATAGCGAGCGTTGAGTATGTTCCTATTAACAGCGATCGATATCTATTTATTGACGTATTTAACTACGCGACGGTCGAAACTCCCAAGTTTTTTCCTACTACATGAAATTTTAATTTGTACACGCAATTTATGACTGGCTCGTTTCGCGAAACATTGCGTATCGATCTGCAGTTGTCCTACTTGTTAAAGAGAAAATTATTGTGTAACTATGTATCACAGTGCGATACATACTGTTATACGAATTATTTGTAAATCCTTTGTTTCTAAACTCGTGGGTTACTCGAAGCGTCTTAACCTTGTCAGTTCGTTCATCAGCCGCGCTCGGTGCATCGCGATCTTGTACACGGTAAATGGCTGCCCTTCTGCTTGCAGTTCACCGGTGATATAGGCAGGCCTGGATGGAGTTGAACATTATAGTACCGATCGGAGAGTACTTTCGCCAAGTGGCGTTCGTAGTGGGGGAGTTGAGACTTGAACCCCGAGACCCCATGGGCCATATATACTACGGTTTCATGCAGCTCTCTTGCTACTTGGTGTCAGCTTCTCGACGATCCTTGCTGTGCAGGAAAGTTACATCGGGAGGAACGCCGATAAAGTAAAAGGTAAGCGTCGTTCGTTTCGTACGCTAACCATCTCCGAATCGTAATCTGCGTATCCATTGTATTTTGAAATCGGCCGAGAAATGATTAGCAAGGGAAGGACGCGATTACGAGTACCCCGTGTATATTAACGAGATGAATCATTAGGGTAACGCGCGTCTTCGCGATCGATGTCTCGTTTAAATTCTTTCACCGCTATTGAATCGGCAATTCGGAATTGTAAAGAACAATCGCGAATACATCCACTTTCAAGGATCAACCTTGTGATCGTTCTATATTTATATCTACTCTATGCGATCGTCGCGTGGCGTGCATCCAGACAATTTAACGTCGTTGGTAAGAATGATCTGGTCGGCATTCTTCTGGCGGTACACAACCATGGTGTCTCGGCTTCGATTCACGCTCCGTTTTGTAAGAATTCGCCAATCTGCATTCTTTTGCCGGCGTTCTTCCGGTTAACCTTTGACGAGCAGTCAGTCGCCCGGCGGATTTCGTGGTAGTCGGTCGTTCCGAACAGAGTCATTTTCGGTAGACGTTCGTGGTAATCTATATCCATACTGAAATTCCTCTCACAGTAAGACGTAACGTTTATCGATAACCAGCCCACATTTCTCCAACGTCGGTCGCTCTCGTTGAAACCAATTGTTGATCTCAACCGGTTCAAGCTCACGGATAAGAAAAATTTCGCTAGGCGCGACAACTCGATCACGGATATACACCCACGAGAAAAACAAAGGAGACATTCTGTGCACGCTCGAGGCTCGACTCCTTCGTATGCGTACCTTTTTGGAAACAATGACTCGGTCGACACGTGCCACGAACTCGCGCGCTTCTCTCCTCGGAAAAGTGTCCTGACATTTGGACAAAGACGAGGAGTTTGGCGGTGGATGATCCGTTCCGTAGTTTTATGTGAAGCTTTCTTGGAAATAAGATACGATGGCTTATACGTGGGAACTGTACGTCTTAAAAGGATATATCACAGACGACTTGCGTCGCAATAAGTTGTCTCTGTATAGCTTTCATCGTTAGTGTCGCGACTGTTTCGTATGTTAATTTAGGGTCACTTGCGTTTGTACGTACACGCGCGTTCGTAGTCATGCCAGATTTATCGGTAGCTATGCGCGGACAAGAAAACTTTGATCTGTCGCTTCTCCGACGACGTCTGTATCCGATTCAACGAAATTTTGTTAAAAAAGAAAAAAAAAAAGGAAGCGAGAAAATTTGTTGAAAAACCAAAACATCTTTCAGATGAAGCTGCTCGTCGTCTTGACGCTCGTGGCCTTAGCGGCAGGACATCCGGGACTGTTGCGGATTCCTAAAGTGTACAACGCCGTGATCACAAGCAATCAAAACTTATCTCCGTCGAGGGCATTCCCGGTGATACAACCAGTGATCCATCGAACGGCGATCGGTTACGTACCGCCGTTATATTACGCGCAAGTAGCGCCTCATGTTTCCGGGCCAGAATTGGTGCATTATCCTCGGACTGGAACGAAATCAGGTAGCGAGACGGAAACGGTTGAAACGGAATTGTCGACGGCTGCGGAGTATTCGAAATTGACCGAGAACAAAGGAGAAGAAGAAGCGGCGCGTCGGGGTTCGGAGAAAGACCAAGGTGAACCGAGATCGGGGTTGCGAAACAAGCAGGAAGAACAACAGCCTCTGAGCTTCTACCCTAACTACCACTCTCTTCATTACGATCCTTACTTTTACACGTACAACGGGATCAACCCTCACCTAGTCCCGGGAACGTATTACGTAGACTATCAGCCCTACGGAACCCTGGAGCCCATTCCTGCGTCCACGCCGAAGAATGGTCTTTCCGGTCATCTGCTTCCAGGTTACCACGAGGAGAAGAAAGATGCGGCGAAGGCCGAAAAGGAAAAGGTGCCGGATGTGCCGCCGCCGCCTCTTCCGACAGCGGTACCGAAAGATCCTTGAAGTAGAAGCTGCGGTCGTCGGGCATCGAATCCTTTCGTTAAGGTCGTTGTCGAGATTAGACTGATTCGCATTAGACTCGATCCTCCGTGTGGTCTTCGCGACGCGAGATTGTTTCGTCGGTACGGGTCGATTTTGAAAAAATCGCGTGTAGGAAATGTTCGCAGACAATTCGGCAACTCCGAAGGAACTTCGAAGATTCTAAAGACTATAAATTGTATATAAAATGAAACAATAAGTATGTAAGACAATACGTTAATATTGTACGCCGATACACGTTGTAATGGAACAACATTTTATAATGTCGTACGACCATCGATTGAATTTCATTATAAAATTTACCAAGGCTATTTAATTGCCTGTGCAACCTTCGCTGGTCCTTGGAACAGCCCAAATTTTTACGGTAAGCGACAGGCTTTCGTCCTGAAGTCCCCTGATCGTGATTTTCACAGTTTGGAAGGTGCCATTCTCTGCGCGGATCACCTCGGACGATATGATAGCTTTGGTTCCAACGGATGGTGTCACTTCAACACAGGTGATGCAAAATGGTCCGTCGACCGATACCCCGATATCTGCTTTGTTTTTGTGCGCTCTGAGGAGAGTATTGTATTGGTACAGCAATTTGCCTACTCCTTTTGCTTTGCAGTTACTCCAGTTAGTACTGTTATTCTTATCGGCCACCTGAAAGTAAATATGCGCATAAATGAATCTATGTAGCTTTTACCGTATTAATGGGAGGCCATGGAAAAATTTCTTTAAAATTTGTTTATTACTTACTCTTGTCGCATTCCTGTCATTAAGAGTGTTGCTATTACTCTCATTGTCGTTAGGAGTGTTACTA